TGGTAATCAATGGGCTCATAGAGGAAACATTCCCAGATGCAAGGAACTGACCACACTCACTGAAAGAGAGTTCTGTCCACTATACTTTCTGGATACGTACTGTACTTGTATTCTGCTTAGGCCCTGTACAAGTATGATCAATTTTAGCAAGTTTTTAACATGTGATTTGGCTATATGTCAATCTTGATATTTACCATAATATTTCCACAAAACAATGTGACAGCTGTCTATCACCTAAATGTTTATCCAGAGAGGGTGAAAAAACATGATGAAAAGAAAAGAATGAGCTAGAAGTTCATTTATTAGCAAGGCCTAACAGCAATGGTACACTATTATGAAAAGTATGTCATCTGAAAAAATAGTTGTGGTATAATATGCATAGTGAGTGCTCAAGGAATGCAAATTTATTTTCTTTCAAAAATAAACTTGCATATGTATATTTATGTATCCACCTAGTGGGTTAAAGCCTATGTAGACAGAGGGAAAGCTACGGAAGGCATCACACCAACAAAGTGCTAACCAAAGGACTACAGGAGGGAGGGAGGCAAAAAGCTAAGCCCAATTCTTGCTGTGTGTGCAGTCTGCAGACTAACAGATGCCAAGATTATAAAGCATTGTAGACTGCCCAATACGTATGGCTCACTTAGGAAGGCCCAGTGAACTATCAAATGAATATCAAAGACAAATATAAATTGGAGGGTTAAAAAATGAGCAAGAATGAGGGAAGCCTGTTGCTAAAGAGGAATTTCCAACTTAAGCCACGGTCCTGAAACATCCTTTATTGGATGTTTTCAGTAAATGATGTACATGCCTTCTCTTCTACTCAGAGAAGATCATCGGACTATGTGTGAGTGACAGTAATGCTAGATGAGGGAGAACCCTGAATAAACTGCAGCCTTGGCTAATGCAGCTCTCATGATCAGCGCATTGTGGGCAATGCATTTCCATCAGGTAACTACCTCACCAAGTGCCTGGCAGACAAGAATCCTGGATTGAGGGCTATCCACCCATGCAATGTAAACAATGACTCCAATTCAAGCAAAAGGAAAAATAAAGAAGAGAAAAAGCAATTCTCTGGGGCTAGGTATTAGTTCTCAGGCAGGATTTAATGTCATAGAAAAGCATGTGTGTTCATGTGTTTCTGAAAGCCACCTAGAATTAATTAGATATAATTAATATAGTTCTTCTCTGAACCACCACTTGGCAAGCATATGCAATAACTGCTCTTAATTTATATTCAATTATGCATAACTAATGCACACAGCATCCCTGTTATACACTCCAGTAGGTTATCCAATTAGGCAATAGTCACCTAGCATCTAACTATACCTTCAGTGTGAATGGAATGTGTCTTTCATAAAAACCGAACAGAAGTCATCTGAGCCGGGAATCACTGCCTTGTTTAATAAGGTCCAGTCCAAGATCACCTTTCTCTTAAATATCTCTTGCCCACCCACTCGTTACTCTCTGTACATTCCTCTCTGTGCATCGAGACATTCACTTTTTCTCTTTAAAAACATTTTAAATTTATGTCTTTTAAATTTTGGTTGATTCTCCTAGCCCCCATCCCGTCTCATCTCCCGATTCTCCTATTCCCCACTGTACCCTTTCGGCCTCAGGATTCTATTTTGTTCCACTTTGTTCTATTGTTTCCTCCACTCCCTTACCCCCTAGAATTGCCCCCACACCCATTTCTAGTTTCCTGGCCTTTACCCATGTTTACTGCTGCCCAGGAACACTGCTTTAGCAATGAGAAAATAAGATCTACATTTGAGGAAGAACAAACAGTATTTGTCTCTCTGGGCATGTGTTATCTTACTTAATATAATGTTTCCTAGTTCTGCCCATTTTCCTGAACTTTTCATGATTTTGTTTAAGTTAGTTGATTCTGAATTAAAGGAATCACTTGAATTAATGCATTTTGTACTTACTATTGAATGTTATAATCACTAAAATTTGTCAAGTGAAAATTGATAATATTCAAGGGTCCACCAAGGTCTTCTTGAAGAAATGTTGAGACTTAGGGCATACATAATAATGTTTATTAAACCGTGAGTACCCTTGGCTTTCTTTAACATACCTGGCCATAGTTATAGCTGTCTTTATTCTTCCTGGCTGCATTTCCCCCAGTTCATTCTTTCGTTTTCTACTCTCCTCACCTAGACTTCACATCTCCCACAAACCCTTATCGTGTCCCAAACAAAATACAATGACTCTGAGATTCTTGGGCTCTATACTACTGACATTTGTGGGTAGATAATACTTTGCTGTAGGAGACTTCGCTGTGCTACATTCATATATATTCATATATATGGCATTGGCTTCCACTCAATAGATTCCAATAAATACCTATAGGCATTTCCAGATGCCTTATATTGGGATCAGAAATCATCCTTAGTTAAGAATCATGACAATAGGGGGCTGGAGAGATGGCTCAGTGGTTAAGAGCATTGCCTGCTCTTCCAAAGGTCATGAGTTCAATTCCCGGCAACCACATGGTGGCTCACAACCATCTGTAATGAGGTCTGCTGCCCTCTTCTGGTCTGCAGACATACAGACAGAATATTGTATACTGTATACATAATAAATAAATAAATAAATATTAAAAAAAATAAAACTTTAAAAAAAAAAGAATCATGACAATAGTTGAATGATCAATGCACATACTTGGTACATATACATACATGCAGGCACTCATCCATGGACCTGAAAAGAAAACGAACTTCAAACAGAAGTGCCTTCCTAAGCTCTGCCTTTTTTCTGGGCTAAAATAAATGAATTCTAACTCGCAAACTGGTTTTGGCTTATACCTAAAAAATCTATTTCCTCTTCATTTCATGATTTGGGGTTTAAATGGACAGTAATTCTGAAAAGAGAGAAAAATAGAGCTATCTTATGGCAGATGGCCTCTGGAAACATTGTTTATCAAATAAAGTCTAATTTATTTATAAATTCCAGCTTATTTGCCAATCTGAAGAAGACAGGAACCTACCCACCGTCTATTTGGCAGTAAGAAATTACACCAGATGCCATTAGCGTGAAAGGGCTTTTGCATTTTGGCATCCCAGATGTGTGTGCTGGAACTTGCAGCTGATTATAAACAGCCGGCACATTCTCGCAGGGCCCACGCTGCCTTGTTAGGTTAATGCAAGGTGTCATTGCTGGCAGTTGCAGCTTTGGAAAAGGAAAACATGAAAGCAAGGAAACAGAGACACGTAAGCTGCAGGAGCTGCCATGTGTCTCGCTAATGGGGCATCTTGGGCACATGCACATCTTATAGTTGATTCTCCTACATCACCGCCTCCACTGAGACAGTTCAGATATCCTGCAGTTACAGTTTCTGGGGTAGGAAACAAAAGTTAGTATCCAACTTCCCATTGGGTGGTTTTGTCATGTTCTACATGAAAAAGAGTGGCACCAAACATCCGTGTATTTTATCTGCACTGTGAGAAGACGCAGAAGTCAGCATACAGCTGAAGGACACCTGGCACTGTTCTCTGAACTTTTGTTAAAACAATAGATTTTCTCCAGTGTAATTCCTGATACCAACTGTTAGCTACCAGCTCCAGCCTATAAAAGCTGACAAATTTTCCTTTAAAATGTTGATATAACGCAACCTAGAGTGAGTCACTGCTTCATTATCTTAGTGTCACCTTAAGTGACGTCGCTTTCAGTCACAGCCAGATGTGACTGAATATTCGGGAATAGTAGAACATGTGTGAGACATAAACACACGAACAAAACCACCAAGGCCACCCCTGCCCCTGAGTCTAAAGACAAAAGCGCTGCCTTGGCTGAGGGTGTGGATCTCAAAAGGGAAAGACTGCTACTCAGGCCACAAATTTCAAGGTTTTCTCTAGACTGTAGTCATTATTGTTCTTATAAAAAGATAGCACATTGGAATTTTTTGAGTAGAGAGAAACAGACACTTAAGCCCAAGTGAGCTAAATGAGGGCTTGCACAGCCACAGCACTGAATGACAATGGCCAGCAAAGGGCTGTATACACATGGTGATCCCGGGGACTGTATCTCCCGGTGTCACTGGTGCCATCATGTATGTGCACTCTGTGGTCGCCTCGCAATTAAATGCATTTCTCATGGCATGTCCTTATTCTGTGACCAAGTCAACATTTAAGTCTCCTGTCGTATAGAGACATAAAATTACCTACAGAGATTTTATTTGGAGAAGTTGTTGGAAAGTTATGACTTCCATACAGCCCTCCTAGCATGGAAGGGTCAATGATTTCTAAGATGCAGGCACAGCTGGAGAGAATTGTAAAATGGTGAATAAGCAAATGTGGACAGCACAAGAAGGCCAGAGATCAGGAAAGAGACCGCACTTCCGAAGTACAGTGGGCTGAAGACAGCTGAAAGTTCTCCTCATGAGGAAGATAAGAGCCTGAAGAGTGACCTATCAGGTTCCAGGAAGCCGACAAGCATGGGAGAAGCCCGTTAGATGCATAGAACTTTGGGTCAGCATTATGGCAAGCAGAACATCTCTTCTCTGGGTTCAGAAATCACCTGGGACCAGAATAGTCTCTACTCCAGGGATAAAATTGTTAGAAAAAGAGAAAGCCAGAAATATGAGCAGGAAATGGAGCACGAACCCTAACTGACTGATATGTAAAACCCACTTGATCTAGTGTTGTGCTTATGAGACCCAATACGTACTTTCTTTGATAGACTAGCCTGAGCTGAGATTTCTGTACTAATATATATGTAAGATATGTGTAACTAAAATCACTTCACTTTTTATCATATTTTTTCCAAATTATCTGAGAGAATGTCTACAATCTAGATGTGCACTAGACTACAACAGTATAAAATCAGGAAAATGCATAATAATCAGAATAATGACATCATGGGGCTCTTTATGGATTAAGCCAATCTCTGGATAATATGTGGACTCTAAAGTGCACATGCAGTGAGAGAGGGAACTCGACTGTCTGCAAAAAACAAACAAACAAACAAACAAACAAGTAGAAGCAATTACAAGTTACCTGGTAATGAACTCTCTGTGACCCAGAAGAAACTGACTGCAAGTCCTAATGAAAAAAAAAATGAGGGGGAAAAAATCCATGTCTTATAGTTAGCTTGAATAGCTATTCCACACTCCCACCAACTCAACTCCCAATTCAATGTCACCATGCTGATCTGAAAAGTTTCTTAACTTATCAAGGTTGGCCCACGAAGTTCATGCCAGAAACAATAAAAGCATACTAACTTGGGTAATGAGAAGACGGATCGTTTTGTCTTATAACTTAGGGTATTCATTGGTTAGTGATGGCCAACTGATAGTTTTGTCAGCATAAATGGGACACTGGCTTCGTTTGTATCTAAGCTCTCTGGCTTACAGAGAAATCTTCATGGGCAACCTTAAAGGCCTAGAATTTATCTTGTACCGAATATACTTTACCACATACTTACAAGATGCTTGGCAAGCAGGACTTTTCATAAACCTCAGCCAGGAAAAAAGCAAGCACTGGCCACGTCCACGTCATCGCGAAGTGCAAGTTGACAGATGTGAAAGGAAATGGGCTTTGGCCAGCAGATTCTGAAGCCAGACTCCCTTTTACAAAGTTTTATAGCTAAGTCGTCGCCACTGCCACAAGCCTTGGGCCTCCTTGCTAACGAGCATGGATGCTCTGTGCAGATGCGGCAGTCCTGGGCACCTCTGTCCTCACACCTGTCTCCCCAAGGGTTTGCCACCTGGCTCTGTGCCCAAGCCACCTTTAAAACTTCTCTTTACTTATAGAGATCAGTTTTCGTTGTCTTCCTCCTAAATCTGCTTTTAGTTGAATATTAATGTGATAAGCATGCCAATATCTTGATTAAGCTGATTTTTTTTCACCAAAGCCAACAAATTAGCCATGCATTTTGCCACTGTGGAGTAAAGCTGCATTACTTTAGTATTAATTATTTTAATGAAAAGATGTAATATCGGTTATGAGTCACTTTTGAAAATTTTATTTTATTTGTGTTTATGTGTTGCTGGAGGTCCTTTCCGCTCCTCCAGCCTATAGCCGCTGAGATACCAGCCCATTGGGGCGTGGTCTCTCTCCCTTTAAAAAAGTGGCTACTTCCCTTCTCATTCTCTTCGCTTCCTGCTCCGTTTCCGGCCACTAGACTCCTTCCTGATTGTGCAGAGGGCTGTTGTCTGGGACGGTTATCTGTAAGTTTTTTCCCCCTTAAATAAATATCACCCTATTAATCATAATTCCAAACTGGTGTGGCATTGTTTGTGACTTACGCCTTCATTTATGTGTATGTGTTTGTATGTGCATGCATGTGCACACTTGAGAAAGGATATCAGATCTCTTATATCTGATGCTATAAGTGGTTAAGAGCCATACAACATGGATGCTGGGATTTGAACATGGTCCTTTGGAAGAGCAGCAAATGTTTTGTAACTACTGAGTCAGCTCCCTAGTCTATAAATTCTCCCTCTTTTTTTTTTTTACTAAGGTTTAATGTATAACATTCCACAGTAAAATTGTAAAATAGAGCATTATTTTAAAAACTGAGATACTACAGGTTCTTTAAATTTAGATTAGGACACAAACTGTATGCTAAAAAGTTCACAGATGTTTTATTTAAGTAGTCACCCACACTAAAAATCGCTAAACAAAGACACAACTACAATTGTATTGATTTTCTCATTCACACTGGTATTTAAATTTTGGTATTTATCCCAAAATACCTTTTGGTTCCTAATTATATCTATACCCTTAAGAATTATAAGGATAAAATTAATTTTTATAGCCATCAGTGTGCGCTTCCTACCCAAATCTATTTCTAGTGAGATATAATAAAATGTACAAAGATAGGTGGCCACAAGTAACAAGATTTAAAAACTACACACCAGCTTTATTTATAATTCATTTATGCTCATTTGGTCATTATGTGTGGAACGGAACAGGGTTACTGCTCTAGGAGAATCCTTCAAATCACCTATCGGTTTCATTTCAATCAGGGCCATTTGAAGAAAGGAACTGTACTGTGAACAGGAGTCCTTCATCTGGAAGCCATGATGGAGAGAAATGTTTAAGCTTCCGCCACTCCTGGGATGGAGAGAGCTGCCTGCCCCCACCTGCTGTACCCACGTATACACATCTGTAATTGCAAAGATGAGTTTGGGTCTCTTGACTTTCCTGGCTCAGGTCAAACTCATGAGAAGCTCATATATGAAATTGTCCCTTTCCTGTTTTTCGGTGACAAGACCACATTAAGGGAAAATTTACAGGTCAGAAAATTATCCATTTGGTTCTGATATATGTCCATGAATAAGAAGCTACTCTTTCCCGTGAAAGAAGTTTCATTAAAAAAACAAAATCTAGCTGTCTCTGACAGAAGTCTATGCTGAACACAAAACTTTAAGTAGACTCAAAACTCTAGGTTCTTTCATTATTTATTAGTTCTTTTGAAATTCTGAATAGCTAAAAACACACAGCTATGTAACCTGGCAAGTAGGTGGAATTTCCAGGCTACAGTGTAGACATGGGACACACCAGGGCATCAGCACCTGTAGCTAACCGAGTAGGTCCTCTTCTATAGCAACCAGCAGAGGAAACCAACTGTAGAGTTGGGAGCGTGGATGCTTAAAGGACAGGCCACAATGCCGTTTCCTCTTCTTATGCATCAGTTTAAATATACATACACACATATATGCACATATGTATATAGCTGGTAATTTCTTATTTAAGGGAACAGCTAAAGAGAATAAATAATAAGATAAATCAACTCACCTCCTGTAGGCGGTCTATGTACATACGGCAGGTCTCCAAATCACAGTCTCCACGAACAACAAGAATACCCAGAGGGATGGCTGAAGGAGAAGGAAAAAAGAAAATTGAAAATAACATATCTGGTCTTTAGACGGACTTAAACATGTTTCTCAAGGGTAAAAAGAAATCTTACAAACGTTATGGGAATCTAGATACAACCATTCAAGAAGCAAGTGTATGCTCTATAAAGCTCCTTGGGGGCCTCAGGAAGCTTCTTCTTACCAGCAGGTGTCATAGATTTACCTTGTTTAACTCATGTTGTCCCTGCCACCGGGCTTTTTCCTCTGTGGCCCTGATATGAAGTATAATATCTAATATCGCTATGATAAGAGGAGTGCAGAAATGAGCAGCTTCTCACTGCCAGCCGATAACCAAAAGCCACATTTGCAGTGGGCAGCATGAAGGCATAGCCTGGGAAAGCAATCATTCAGCACTCTGGACACTCTCTCCCTTACCCCTCCTGAACACACTAGCCTCGTCTTTTGGCACATTGCAATAGCTTGCTATTTCTATAACTGAAGCTGCTCAACTACTGCTGCTGCCTGGTGGGTGAGGGCAGAACTAAAAATCTAAAACTGAAGAAGGAAGGAGAGGAGGAGGGAATAAGCAGGAGGACATAGGAAGACAGGATTTTTGAAAATAAGTAGTTATAAGCCAAAGTCTTTAAACTAAATTTAATCCATGAAAGACTTGAAAAGAATGAGCACCACAGTCATCATCAACAAATGAAATTACGAAGATGAGTTTTTATATAACAGGATAATATACATTTAAACATAAAAATGTCTTGAATAACTCTCAAAGTAGTAAAAGAATAAATAAATAGTAACTATGACATAATTTATACTAAGGGTATTCTCTGAATCACATGAAACCTCTTTGATCTTTTATTTGGAGAAACAGGGATGATACCAAGAAAAATAAGTAGCCCCTTTCCAACATTATTCCCTGGACTGATTTCCACTAGGGAGAACAGACCAATACCTCTTCTTTTTTCCTGCAGGTTCATCAAGTCCTGCATATATCAATCTTTGGAGCATCCATCACCATGCTCGACTATGTGAGCCTGTGGGTGAGTATGAATTCTCTCACATCAAGGATGAAGCTTTTTCATCTTTTCTCTCCATGCATGGTCAAGAAATGGTGAGTACTCAAAACACGTGTGTAAAAAGAAAGATGATGAGTTAGCATTCACTCAAACGTGAACGAGAAAAGTGTACCTTTACAACACACATCATTTTTATGGGGCAGACAAAAGTAGAAGCAAAGAAATAGAGAACACACGTAGAGTTTCAACTCACTGTTGGTTATTCTTCTCGAAGCTAAGCAGAAGGTGAAGCTACCTCTGCATGCCATCTGTTTGGGAGAATAACCTCAGATGACTACAGCTTCCTTTTTTTGACAATAAAGAGAAGCATTAAGGACCTGTAGGGTGGCACCCAGGCATTGTGGAAGGGAGTGGAAAGGAGTAAGTACCTCTTTAAGGCACTCGCTAAGGGGATACGCCAGGCAGAGTGTGTAGTAACACCAGCACTGCACAGGCTGAGTCACAAATTACAGCCCAGCCTGGGCTACATAATGAGACCCGGTGTGAGCCACAGAGTGAGACACTACTTTAAAACAAGCAAGCAATCAAACGACAAAAGAAGGAAAGTGCCGTCAGCTATACTATCAGATACATTTGATTATAGTGACCCACCAAGCTAAGAGCTCAATGATATTTTAATAGTTGAAGAAGGTCAAGGAAAGCTAAAAGTTTTGGCCTAGGTATAGAAGTAAGTCAAAAGTTGTGGAAAGTGAATATACCTATAATTCAGTCAGTTTACATGAAATCTTACTAATATACAGAATACTTCCTCTTAATTTCAAATGTGGAGAAGTAAAATTCAATCAATAATTATCTATCTTCGTAAATTTGGAGACAGAAATTAACAATACTCTTTCCGATACCTCTCATCTCCTTCAATTATCCATACCTGGAGTTATTCTTGTCTGAATATAAACAAACCAATGTACCCTAACTACAGGCATTTTAAACTATAGACTAAGACATGGCTGAGAATCCAGCAGGAACAACCAGACAAGCTGTTTTTCCAAGACGTGAAGCTCATTTCCACTGCAGGTCTAACCGGTGATTTTTGCCTACTCCTGAAGTAGGTGACCGAAAGTAACTGCATTTGACTAAGGAATACTTAGCTGTTGGAGAAGAAGAAAGATAACCCCTCTCGCCACTTCACTGCATGGTTTCACTCTACAGTGACGTGCACTCTCGGACGGTGGCAGTCAGCACGCAAGAGGAAGTATCCACAGCCATTCACCCATGGCCTCTACTCCCCACACTGTTTTGGACTTGAGAACTGCTATGCTTAGCTCTTTGCTCTTGCTATCACCTTACTGGATCCCCTATTTAAAACTGAATCACTTGAACCATCACCGTTGGTTCCCCTTCACTACCTTCTGGGCACCTTCCCTGAGAAAATGGTGTCATTACACTACAAGGATCAGCTAGTGTCAGGAGCGTCATGGCTATAGCTCTGTTTAGTTTCAAAGTCCTTTCCACTCTTTCTAAAAATGGGGAAACAAAATAACTGTACCGCAAAAATGTCACAGTAACCTTGATTCAGGACTTATCTGGTAAGAAAAAAACCAGAAAATTGCGGGAAATTGGCACCTTCCTTTTGTATTATTGATAACCTGCTGCCAAACTTCATGCCAAAGTTTGTTCCATTTTAGTTAAGAATAGTAGAAAGAATGTTTCTACCCTGAGCCTTAGTGTTCCTGCAACTGCCTTGGTTAATCTTCTGGTCCTTTTAGAGACTCTGTCTACTAATGGGATATATATTGGTTAAAATTTGCAGCTTCAGACTAAGAAAAAAAAAAACCCTGCCTTCTTAAGTAAAATGACAAATTCAGCACACTTACTTCTTTTTCTCAAAAATGTTACTGAATTATAGTAGGATTTCATTTTTTTAAATGAAAAAGGATACAGTATTAGCAAGGAGAATATGGAAATGAGAAATGGACCAAAAGTTGGTGACTGAGTCAGAGTGCATCAGAGTCTATCCCTGAAAGTGTACAGCAGATGCAGACCATTGGAAATGTGCAGGAATATGCAAGGGTGGGATCCCAGGCATATCCTGCATCCTCCTCCACAGGAGACAGAATGCACCTGTAAATGTAAACAGGACTTCTTGCTGAACACAATCAGGAATTGAAGATTTCTCATAAGTAGCTGGTTCTAATCCAATCAACCCATGATCTTTAGATTCTAAATAAAGTGTTGATAAGTTACGGTGACTTAATTATGGGAAACTTCCCTGATGAAAGAATTTTTAATATTTTGCATATTGCCATACATTTAGCTGTATCCTCTGAGTTTAATTCTTATTTTCATCTTGTTGTATTTCATCTTCTATTAGTTTTCATTATGTAAATAAAATCTCCTAACAATTTTTTTTTAAAAAAATCAAAGAAAATGAAAAGCACAGTAGAAAACAGAAAGAATGTCAATTTTTGCTGGAAACCCATATCAGAGAGGTAAACAGCATATACAACAACCAAACTTCTCCCACCTCCTGGGCATTTGACACTTTCCCTGATTGCCTTTGGCTTTATCTGAAGCTATTTGAAATGAAAGAAACACACATGAATGCTTTGGGCCTCCAAATTTCAGCATCTTATAAAAAGATTCTCTCAGTATCAAGAGACCCTAAAGCATTACATCATAATGAAACCCCAGTGCAAGCACCAACACATCTAAAACACCCTTCAGCTCCAAGAAGTTTAGAATTCTCTTTGAAAAGGGGAGGGGAAGGGGAGGGAGGAGAGGGAAGAGCAGGAGAAGAAAAGGTAGAGAAGGAAAGAGGAAATAAACAAAGCAACACATTTTATACCACAGAATCCTCCATGGGTTTGCTTTAACCACCACCAGGAACATGAGAAACTGGGGAGAATAGGGCAGCTGAAGGCAGAGTGCTTTGTGTTGAGTAACTAGATCCCTGTACCCCTCTTGCTAGGCACAGAAGATGGGGAATAACTGGCAATTTGCAGAGTACAATGACCTGGAACTTCATTCCCTCACGGGGCTTGCCAAAATCTGGCATCAAGGAATCTACAGTCTTGGCATGAGGAAAGACTCTTTTGAAATCTGACAAACTCATGGGGTAATATGTTAACATGGCAGCAGGCCCACCCCCAACATCTGTTAAGGTCCAAGGCAAGAACGCTACACTTGAAATTCATGTTCCTCCGCAGGCACGGCATTAACACAAAGTTCCAAAACTGTGAGAGTAGGTGTCACTTTCCTACTTTGTAAATAGACCTTTGCTGATCCCTGATGGAGGTGTCAGAATCAGAACTCTAGGAATCTATGGCATTCTGAAACAAAGTACAGTGCCTGTGACCCAAAGCTAGAGACTCCTCTTTCCACCCAGAACACTAAGACCCTGAATTTGCGGACAAACCAGATCACACCTCAGAACTCTCCAAAGTCCATGCAAACAGTTCCCTACAACAGGGCTTGGCTGCATCCACACTATGTACTGTCTCTTCGGGACTGTATTAGAGGAAAAGGCCTGTAAACATCCAAAGAACAGACTTAGGGCGACCAAGTGAGACTGTAAAGCCTAGTCAAGAAAAGCAATAAGATGTGAAGCTGTTCCCTCCAGGAAGCAGGGCTTAGCTGGGAAGGGCCACGGCAGGGCGTGCTGAAGCTGGGCTCTCCTCACATGAACCTAATGGCAGCACTGACTTGGAGTCCTCATTCATCAGTTTACCTCTTCACATAAAGAAGCTTGAAGTCCAAAACCTTTACCAAGAATCTCAGCACTCTTGGTCAGCTAAACGTCTCTCACTCACATTTTTAAAATATATTTATTTGATTTTAATTATGTATAGTATTGCATGTCTTTGCATGAGTATGTATACATGAATATGAGTAGTGCTTGCAGAGGTAAATGGAGGTCATTGGACGTTCTGGAGGTAAAGTTGCAGGCTACTTATGGTATGTACTGGGAACCAAACCCAGAACCTCCAAAAGAGT